TCCTTGGGTATAGTCATTCCTTTCTTCAGCTCTTTGTGTTGCTTCCAGAACTCTCTGAAGGGCTGGTTTTGTGGACATGAATTCCTTCAGCCTATTTATGTCATGGACGATTTTTCTTTCCCCTTTGACTATAATAGACATTTTGGCTGGGTATAGTAATCTGGGTTGGCATCTGTGGTCATTTATAACTGGGAATACTTTGGTCCAGGCTCTTCTGGTTTTTATAGTTTGCACTGAAAAGTCAGCTGTACTCCTAATGGGTTTTCCTTTATATGTGACTTTTTGTTTTTCTTTTGCAGCTTTCAGTATTGTCTCTTTGTTTTGTATGCTTAGTGTTTTTAGTATGGTGTGCTGTGGGGATTTTCTTTTCTGGTCCTGTTTGATTGGTGTTCTATGTGCTTCTTGTAGTTGTATGAGCATGTCTTTCTTTAATTTTGAGAAATTTTCTTCTACACTCCTGTTGAAGACCTGGTTTGTCTTGGGATTCTTCTCCTTCTTGTATGCCTATGATTCGCAAGTTTGGTCTTTTTATGGTATCACTCAATTCCTGCATATTCCATCTTGTGATTTCTTAAATTTTTCATAATCTTTGCTTGAGTGGTCTACTTTGTACACTTTATCTTCTCGTCTTGATGCTCTGTTTTCCATTTCATTCATCCTATTGGTGAGGCTTTCTCCTGTCGTTTCTAATTGGCTTACTGAGTGTTTCACTTCCTTCTTCATTTCAGCCTGAGTATTCTTCAATATTTCTAACTCTTTTCTGAATTCATTCAGACGTATATCCCTATCTTCCTTCAGTTCTTTGATTTGTTTGTGTGTTCTTTAAATTCACTGAATTCTTTTATCATGTTTATAGCTGTTCTTTTGAGTTCCATGTCCTGCATTATATCTAGGAGGTTCTCACTGTACTCCTCTGGAGGACTATTGGTATTTGGTGGGGATATGTTATTTTGGTTTTTCATGTTATTTTTTCTCTGTGATTTTGACATGTGAATTTCTTTTGTAGTTTCTGATTCTTTTGTGAGACTCAAGCTTTCAAATTTTGGTCTGCTTCTTTTTGTGAACTTTATGTGTCTTTGTGGTTTACTTTTTTGGCATGAAAAGCTGGTTCCTCTAAGCTTCCAGTTCTCTCTTTTGATTTTATATTGTCTGGATTGCTTTTGTCTTCAGGAGTTCGCACAGAGGCCCAATTCAGGTGAGGGTCCGATGTTTTCAGTCTCTCTCCTAAAGTCTGGATCCCTCCAGAAATGATTTTGGCCTCAGGAATTTGGGGGTTGGACTGGCCTGGGAGCCTGGCCCAGGAAAGATGCTGGTCTAGGGCCCCTGGTGGCCGTGCCACCCAGAAATGCAAAGGGAGATGGGGGCAGCAAGAGGCCCCAAGGACTCCTGGGGACTGCACTGAGGAGCTGGGTTGGTCTGGATGCAAAGGATCAGGAAGAGGAAAGGTCAGCCTGGTGGGCAGAAAGAGGCTGGTGGGTGGTGCAGGCCCAGGGAAGCAGAGGGAGGTGAGGGCAGGGCCAGGCTCAGAAGCAGTGCTCCCGGGGCCCAGAGAAGGCACTACATTGGTCTGGATGAAAAGGATCAGGAAGCAGTATTGTTTCCCCAGGTGTCTGAGGCCCCAAGACAAGGAATGGGGCAGGGCCCAAACTAGGAGGAGAGAACGGTAGGGGAGATGGGAGGGTGAATGAGGCTGGGGGAGTCAAGGCGAGGAGGGCATGATGGACTTACCCCAGAGAGAGGCTCCTGTAGGTAGGAGCGAGGCCTATGGCGGGTCTTTCAGTCCCAGGGAAGCAGAGGTGTTGTTATAGTGTTTTTAAAGATACTTACCAATAAAATATAATCTTACTTTAATTTTTTGCTACATAGCAGTATTCTCCTCATTCTGACAGAAACTAACAGTGGTTACAATCTCTCCATAAAACTTTATGTAATGATTTCTTATTTATTTAACTATACTTTCTGTTAGACGTAGGTTGTTTTGTTGATTGGTTTTTGACAGGATATCCTGGTCACAGACAGCCGAGAAGTCACCACGTGAACCAGGGTAGCTTCGGTCTCACAGAGATCCACTTGCCTCTGCCTCCTGACGGCTGGGATTAAAGGCGCCTGCCACCAGGCCTAGCATAGACAGTTTTTTGTCTTTTTGTTTTATTTTTTGTTTTCTTCTGTTTTAATTAATTCTCTGATTAATTCTCTGATAAAAAATATTTTACTATGCAAATGATTTTATCATGCCTCTGTAAATTCTTTATATTTGAGATTACCTCCCAAATACAAGCAGTTGAATTAATTAGTTCAAACATGGAATTTTTTTTAACATTAAGTACCTTTCTATCAGAATTGAAGCCACTCACTGCTCATTAACAGAACACAAGAATGTAGTTTTCTCTTCAGTAAAGAGAGATCTCTCTTTGTTTGTCTCTCTCTGTGTCTTTCTGTCTCTCTGTCTCTCTCCAATTTAGATGTTTTGAGGGTAGCTCTTTCTGCCTGTTCAATTTTGCATTTAAAGCCAGGTGATTTTGAGAATGAGTAGTTAGTAAAAGTGTTAAAATTCCTTGAATAACCAAAAACAACCAACCAGCCAAACTAACAAAAACAAAGAAAATCCATATCCTTTTAAAGAATTGAGGGAAGACCATTCATTCTGGAAAGTTCAGAATATGTTGTGAGAAATAAAATGTAACGTCAATTTTTTCTGACTGCCTCTTCAGGTGTCTGGAGAATTACAAGTGCTTTAGAAAAATTAAAGAGGAAATTTGCACTCAACTGGCGAAAATGGAGACAGTTCTCGAAGAGTCCATGTCCACATTGCCAAGGTGTTACAAAGAAGCTTTAGAACTCTTGGAACACAGCACGGTAACACTTATCAATCTCTAGAAAGGCTGTATAAAACTCAGTGAAACAAGCAAGTAGGGGTGGAGGATGTGACTGAAACCCACAGAAATCTTCAAACACCCATAAAAGTCCTCCAGCCTGAAGTCAAGGAGAAAAGTACGAGGAAATTATTATGAGCCTCTTAATTCGGTTCACTGTGCAGCTCTCCCCTCCCCCAGAGCATCCTGCCATGATGTTTCCCTTCCGTTTCCCTTCCCTTTTCTCATGTTTTGGAGAATGCTTTTGGATCAATGACAGAACCCTTGTTCTCTGGACAATTAGTGCATCTGTCAAGTTTTTATTATTTTTCTATACCATTACTAAGCTGTTTTATTGATTATTTATTTATTGACTTGTTTATTTCTTTGAGACTGGGTCTCTTGTATCCCAAGCTGGCCTCGAACTTTCTGAGGATGGCCTTGAATTCCTGATCCTCCTACTTCCACTCTTCCCTGACCCTGAGTGTTGGGATCATAGGCATGAGCCACCATGCCTGGTTTTAATTAATTTTGTTTTGTTAATGTATTTTTTGTAAACTTTTTATTGAATTTTTGTGTATTTCATATAGAACACCTAGTCAGTCTTAATCATCTTTATACACTCTTCCCCTTAGCACCCTCCCATGGCCCCTCACCCCATTAGACTTCATACATTCTGTCATTTGCATTAATGCCTATCATGTTAAGTTAGTGTCCCTAGATGTCCCTCAGTGCAAGTTCATCCACTGGGGTCTAGTCAGCCTATCTAGAGTCCCTCCCTTTAAGAAGATCAGCTCTTCTTCACCCAGCAGTAATCAACTGCCAATAATTCTTTAACTAAGACTGGGGCTTGTTGCCCATTTCCACAGTTCTGCACTGGGGTTTGTCTGCTTGGGTTTGCACAGGTCTTGTGCATGCTGACACGATTGCTATAGGTTCATATGAGCAAGGTCCCAGGAGTTCGTAGGGCTCTATTTGCATATGGTCATGCACTTCCTCCCTGGCTCTTACAATCTTTTCACTCTCTTCTGAAATGGTCCCTGAGCCCTGGATGGATGGAGTTTACTCTGCAGACTCTTACTCTCCACACTTTAGTCCTTTTTGACCTTTTGTGTTCCAGGCCCTCTGCATAAGGGGATTTCATTGATGAGAACTGAGAGATGTATTAGTGTCCTCTTTATCCCTTGTTCTATGTTCTGTGAGCCTTAGGGGTAGAGGTTGCATTGCAGATTTGCTACTTAGGCTTGGGCAATTCACAATGTCTATGAGTGACCATTTGTGGTACTCTATAATAGTTTCCATCATTGCAAAAGAAGTTTCTTTGATGAATGGTGTCTGGAATACTTGCCTATAAATATAAGGAGCCTTATTTTGCACATATTAAGAAATACATTTGTCTAGGTATGTGACAGCCTTGGGATTTTCTCTAAGGTTTATGACCTTGCCAGCCACGTATATTTGGCTGTTTATAGTACCAGACCTGAGTTTCCTCCTATTGAGTGGGCTTTAAGTCCAATTAGGTAGCTGTTGATTACCCCCAAGATAAATGAGCCACCACTGCACCAGTGTCATTTGCTGTCCTAGTCATTGATGTGGTTATTAGGCTTTGAAGCTGGGGTTGGACCATCAATTGATGTTCTCCCTTAGCAGCTTGCATAGTGCTCTCCAAAGCTATGAGAGACAGCCTTCAGGGGAGGTGGCTTCCCGGTCAGTTCCAGCTCCATTGCTCTAAATCCTGTGTTTGAAGTATGCCCTTTCTTCAGCAATAGGTTCTTACCTTCAAGTTCTGGGAGGCAATCAAGGGCTGTGGCAGTAGCCTGTATAATTTTGGGAGTCTAAGATTACCCCCAACAACTCAAAGGAAGATTTCTTCTGTTTGGTAATGTTTCTTGTTATGCACCCTTCAGCCATATAAATGGATCCATGTAGAGATGTTGTATTGGTCCAAAAACCTACTGACAAATTATACATACAATATCTCTACATGAGTCCTTGTTAATGTATTTTTGTGGAACTGGGAATTGAACCCAAGATCTTACACATGATAGGTACTCTACTACAACCCCAGCTATGAAACAACTTTAGTTTTTTCTTACCTTCATCTATTAAAATATATGGTGTTATGATATATGATTCATCTTCCCTAGTTAAATATTTATTTATTTTTGAATTGGATCCTTGCTATGTAGCACAGGTTGGTCTTGAACCTGGAATCATCCTGCATCCTGGAATCCCAGATGTGTATCACCACACCTGGATTGTTATGATTTGGATGAGGCCATTTGGCTACCAAAACCCAAAAGAAACTGAACAAACAAATCAAAGCCCCTAAAAGCTGTGTTGATAGTTGATATAGTAAGCGCTGTGTCTTTGAATTAACTGGTGTGTGAGACTCAAGTTAAAGTCATAAATTATACTAGCCTTTGAGAAAATATTCTTGCGTTGAAAATTTGGTTTGAGGGCATCATTTCTCCCTTCAGTCTGAAATTCATGCAAAATATAATGTATAGATTATTCCCAACCTAGCCCAAAGTGACTTTCAAAGAGACAAGAGGTGCCGCCTATCATATCTGAGGAGGATTAAAATCATTAACTGCCCTAGGTTTAAGACGTTATCTTTCAATAAAGATAATGGTATGTTTTTCCTATTCTTTGCTTTCTCAAGGTCTTGGTGTCAAATCTCCTATCAACCAAAGAAGACTTAGTAAAACTCCGACAGGTCGTCAGACACCTGAGACGCAAGTGCACAGAAAACGATGGCATGTGTGTGCTCGGAGTCGCCTCGGCTCTGTGGGAAAAGTGGCTGAGTTTGCTGCTAGCTGCTCAGGAGTGGGAGCTGTGGAGTAGAGAGCTGAAGGAGGCATGGAAGTTCCTCAGTGAGGAAGTGAGTCCTTCATGTCAGCAGGCAAACCCTGAGCTTCCTAAGGAGGGCTTGCTCTCATGTTCTTTCATTACGTGCATTAAGTATGCTTTACATACCAACAGCTGTATAGGTCAGGCCTGTCCAAACAGCCTCTGAGAAATTATCCGGCCTCTTTCCTAATAGTGCTAATAGTTGTGCTTTTTTTTTTTTTTTTTTTTTTTTGGTATCGTAATTCTGTCTGAAATCTGTTCTCTCCTATGTTTACACGGGTTCTGGGGATCAAACTCTGATCTCCAGACCTATACAGTCAGTGCCTTTACCCACTGAACCAGCTTGTCAGCCCTCAGATAATTCTTATCAAAAGGTGACTATTTGCTGGGTCAAGCTTTAAAATCTTTATTGTGAAGATAAGTTCAGCCTTCTTAATAGTAATTGTCTATGCATTCATTATACTAAAGTTTAGAATTGGATAATATACATAATAACTGACTAAATTGGAAATTAGCTGCAATTGTTAAGTGTAAGTCTAAGTATATGAAATATGGTGAAATTTCTGATAACTGTCTCAAGAAGACCTCCATAGCATATATCAGTCACAGATGTTAATTTAGTCATGACTTACGACTTTGGCATCACATGTATTAAGACAAAAAAAGAAATCATATGAAATTAGAGTATTCTCTAATCTTTCCAAAGGTCCAGAGATAAATGAGGTACAAATCAGAACATTGGATAAAAATTCTCTCTTACTCATTTCAAAACTTCTGCTGAATTACTAAAGACAGAAATGTAATGCGTCAGTAGTTAGTTGGAGGGAGGAGGTCACCTGTCTTCAACACTATCCTAGTAACCTGCTCAGAACTTGATATTCTTGAAGATGAATATCATTTCAGTGGTCCTGGTGGACCTTGATTAGTGAAAAACCCCTCAAATCTTCAAACTCTAAGAAACTCTGCCAACTGTGCTTTTGTTCGGGCTGCAGGTCCTGCCATCCACAATGGCATAATCACTGAGCCTCAACATATTGTGCTCAGGAACCAGTTCACACCTGGACCTTGCCGTGGCTTCAGGCAGTAACTGTCATTACCATCTGATAGACTGGGAAACCAAAGCACTGATTGATTCAGTAGTGGCCCAAGAGCCCCAACTAGAGAGTGACTAAATAGACCCCTGTGGGCTGGGGTCATACCTAACAATCAGCTATAACCCTGTTCCTAGTGGGCACTTAGAAAATATTTGTTGAAGAAAAATTCTTATTCTATACACATCTAGGCTAATTCTAAGTTTTCACTATTTTATCACACTATTGCTTTTATGCATTTGCAATCATATCTTATTAATTCAAACCTTATTCATTTAATTGTTTATAATTACTCAAGCAATCAGACAAAAATATACTAACAAATGAATTTTTAAAGTATTTCATTTATTTTTAAAATATTTCATTTATTATTTTTATTTTATGTGTATAAGTGTATTGCTTTCATGTATGTAATTGCACTTGTGTTGTGCAATGCCCACAGAAGTCAGACGAGGGCATCAGATTCCCTGGAACTGGAGTTACGGAAAGTTGCTGGCTGCTATGTGGGTGCTGGGAACTGAACTTGGGTCCTCTGCTAGAGCAGCCAGTGCTCTTAACCGCTGAGCTATCTCTCCAGCCCCCTACATCCTTATTTTCTTAAGCAGAATGTACCTGATATTATTTTTTAATTTTATTTACTATTTTTATTTTATGTGTATGAGTGCATTGCCTGCATGTGTGCAGGTGTACCTGTGTCATGCAATGCCCTTGGTTTTCTGCCCTGACTTCCTTCAATGGTGGATTGTGACCTAGAAGTATAAAAACGAGATAAACCCTTTTCTTTCAAGTTGCTTTTGATCTAAGTGTTTTATCATAGGAACAGAAAGGAAACTAGAACAGGTGACTTCTGGTTATCTAGAATAATAGTTTTATGCTGTGGTGGTCATGATATGTAGAACAAAGTCATTTCTACAAAGATAATTAGGGATGGAACTGTTGAGTCCTAAAGCCAATGCCTTGTTCATTCCTGTTTCATCAGGTCCCCAGGTTTTTGTTCCCCTTTACATAATTGTGGTGCGCTATGGTTCTCCCTGTTCACTTCTATTTCATAGTTATGAATCTTAAAGTTAAAATGGGTTTATTAGGATTTTATGTCCAAGGAACATCCCAAAGGGGGGTGCATATATACTTTCAAGTGGAAAAGTCAGTACATAATCTTTACGCTGACTGCTTTCCTGGGTCAAGGGTTTTCATCAACAATTTAGCATGAAGTTTGTTGAGTTTGAACTAATTTGTATAGTCACATGACTACCAACAAATTCAATATTTAAGACATTTCCGTCATCACTAAAACTTCCTTTGAGCCTCTCGTGTTCCTTATTTATTCCTGAGTAGGATTCTGTTGGTAGATGTGGTGGTTTGAATGAAAATGTCCCCCATAGGCTCCAAGTATTTGGACATTTTGTCCCCACATGGTGGCGCTGTTTTGGGAGGTTTTAGAAGGTGTGCCTGTCCTGGAGGAAGCATGTCACTGGGGGTGGGCTTAGAGAGTTCTTAAGCCTTGCCAGATCTCCAGTTGCTCTCTTGCTTCCTATGCCTGCGTGATGATGTGAGAGCTTAGCTTCTGCTGCTCCTGCTCCAGCCACCTCCAGCCACCATGCCTCCCTGTCATGACAGACTGCAATTCCCTTGGAACCGTAAGCTCAGATAAACTCTTCCTTCTATAAATTGCTTGGGTCAGCAGTGTTTCTATCACAGCAACAGAAAAGTGACTAATACAGTAGATGAACTACTATCTGTTTATCCCTTTCCAAACTGAACAGTTGCCTGGCCTTTTGGTAAAATTTCTGTCCTAGTAACAATTGTTCTTCCTCTTCAGTTCTCCTTCTCACAAAACAACGCAGTCTGAGACTGGGCTTGCCAGTGGGTGATTTATTTTGGAGAGTAGCTCCAGGGTGCAGGAAGGAGAACTGACACAAGAAAGGTCTGGGCCCTTACTTGTTTTATGCTCTTTGGGTCACGGGCACTACGTTTGTTGATTTGTGGTTATCTCTGGGCATGGGAACACCAAATGAAGCCCCACTGAGTTCTAGGTTACAGGCGTTTAGATGCATTTAGAATCCTTAGATTTGCTATTAAATCTCCTATTGATATAGCAGTTCCTTGTTGACATGCAGGAGGCTGCAACATGATCTAGTATAACCTTAGCCCACTCCCTGCTTCAAGTATAGCTGTCTACCTGAGAACCAAGATTTCCAGTGACACCGCAGTTTGAGGCAGTGGGAAGCACATAGTCCGTATCTGGGTCTCTTGGGAAGGGAACAATGTGCTTGCACTAGGTATGTTATAGAAACCGGGGACCCAGCCTCATCATGGGACCAAGTGTGATGACAGCATATTCCACAGCCTGCTCCTGCATAGACGCATTGTGGATAACTGATCTGAGCAATAATACCAAGTATAGCGTATATTACTGCAAAAATCCCACCCAGTGGTTTATCTCTTTGTTAGCCATTAAAAAATTGACCAATTTCTTAGGCTTTGAGAGCCCTGAGTATTTATAATAATTGATGATAGATCTCCTGAATTTTTATAGTTTTGTTTCTTACCCTCTGGTCCATCCATGGCCTCACTCACTGTTTCAATTAGCATGATACTGTAAGTGCAGTTGACTGGTGTGGTGTTTTATAATGTCAAGATGCACAGCTGAACATGGATTAGGAGGGTACAGTGGGATGAATGAGCCATGCAGCTAAAGGGAGTGGGCTTGGGGATTGAGGAGGGGCAGAGAACCATCTAATGATTTAGGGGCCTTTGAGATTGTTTTCCACCTATTTGTTCTGAGTTCAGGGCTGGTGGAACTCTGTCTTTCCAGATAGGTTTTGTAATTAGTTATTTATAATAAGTATTTCTGAGTTTTGCACATACCAGTGGTTCAGTAATACAGGCCCCTTTCCCTTAGAAGCTGTCAGGTTTGTGAGGATCTACTGGGCTCAGTTTTACAGTGTTTTGCAGGGATTAGAAATAAAAGAAAAAAGAGACTTACAGAAAACTTTCCACATCCAACAGTAGCCCAGCCTCTTATGGTGGAAGCCGTTTGGTGGGGCCTCTCCAGCCACCTCACACGTGTCTCGTGTGAATGCTGCTCCAGCCTACACAAGTCTGAAGGGGGAAATAAATCACTTTGTTCGACTGCATTTCCCTCAACATTTCCACAATAGCAGTTCTCCAACTTAATCACACATCTACATGGGCAGTAGTTGGAAGCTATAGGCTCTGACGGTAGAGGATTAATTAACTTAATTAACATTCCCAGCTACAGAGAGCAAATATGACTTTGAACCAGGATATGGCATTTGGCACCCTTCAGAGAGAGAATATACAAAAACATGGCTGCCAAGGTATATATCTGATCT